CTCGGTGGTCAGAGAGGACAACGAAGCTCTAACAGTGAGAGCTCGACATGTCAAGCTGAGAGCAGACCCGTGCTCAGACAGTCGCCCGAAGGACTGAACAAGAATGCTTTACCAATCTAAGCTTCGCAAAATGCCCAAACCCAACAAAAGTCCAACAAAAATGAAAGAAAGTGTTTCCACTTTGCAATGATTCAGGGGCTCGAAATGACTCCCTGTTTGCAACTTTCAGAGCGTTGTGGAACTGCGCCAGGCTGCTGAACTAACCCAGGTGCGTTTATCGTCACTGTCTTCGGCTTCAGGCTCCATTTTCTGCAAAGACTTTGTCGATCAAAGCTTGGGGCAAGACACTGGCTTCTTCCTTGGCCTTTGGTGCATGTCAAGAACATGTCAAGTGTGTTTTTCTAACACTCCTAACAAATTGAAGGCTTACAACGGGGATGCTGTGTTCTGTGTTTTCGTAGGGTACGTCCTTCAAAATCCCTTACGGACCCGTCGGGTTTGGAAGTCCCACTTTCAAAGATGTTTGTCAATCGTTTGAAACGTGGTCAGTCGATGCATCGTATCGTCACATACACCTATTCCACGACTGTCCTGGGCCTGTAAGCTGCTGAAAGACGAGTCTTCCTCAACCTGGGGCTTTGCAGCGGCGACAGGCCTGACTCACTGGTCGCAGGTCAACTAAGACTTCCAAATGATGTCAAGGAGCCAGTTTGAGAAGCTTCCCAATCCGCCCACACAACACAGTGGTACAGGTGTTGAGTGGAGGGGCGGGGTGAGTCTAACAAGAAAAGTGGAAGAACGCTTGAACCATGTCTGGAGGTGCTTGCCGAAGAGGAAGTGAACTTGAGGCTCCTACCTGGAAACATTCCGAGACATCCACTCTTTGCTCAAAAGAGGGTGCATATCCGACCTTTCCCCAAATCTGTTTTGACGGTACCAATCGTGCTGGCCGGAAAATGCCGCGTTGGCAAATGTGCAGCCCGTGTGCACATGATCTTTCGAGATCCCGGCAGGAGCGTCATCCGAAGTGGAAGTATCGAAGTGATTTGGACCGTCATATCCCTGTCATCCGAACCTTTTGCCGTTTGAGTCCGCTTTGAACCGACGCGGAATGGCTGCGTTTCGCCCAAGGGCGGTTCAGCGGCCCGTTGGGCCTGGGGGAGTGCCGTGAAAAACCGAGCGGCGGCTTGTCGAAGTGGGATGTAGATGATGTAGTGGTAGCTTGTGGCCAGCCAAGTAAATGCCGAAGTAAGTGGATAGAAAGTCAATCGTGTGTCAATCAAAAGAAAAGACATCACCTGAATCAGAATCACCTTTTGATTGAAAGGTCAATATACTTTAGAGTATCCCTCCTCACAGTAACGGTCGTCAAGCACTTTTGCTACTAAACTTCACAGCAGAAGGAGCACCAGAAATGTCAAGCAAAAATCAGGCCACTTCAACAAGATGTGATCTTCAATTGTGATTTGAAGTTTGAAGGTTGAACCCCCTGTCATCTCATCTCATTCATCTCATTTCATTCACTCCCATCATCTCTCTTTGAAGGCCCTCACGTCGCATTCACTCCCAATCTTTTACCATGAATGCTGCCACCATGAACGCTGCTACCATGAATGCTGCTGCTTTGAAGATTAAAATGCATTGTGTTGCCTTGCCAGCGCCAGCACTTTCTGTATTTAGACTTATCTACAGTCATATGGCTGTTCCCGGGTATTGCTTTGGAAGTATGGCAGTCGGCTAAAGGGCTCGCAAGTTGCACTTGCTGAGGTTATCAGGTAGCCAGCCTGTGTCATCCTTTGTTGTGCCTTGTTCGACCAACATGTCTCTTTCACCAAAAAGCTTTGCTCACAGTCACCTACTGCAAAGCAGTCTGCAGGACCAAATGTAGTAAAGTTTGCATCAATCTACTTCTGGCTCACTGATCTCTTTTTCTGCACCTCTCATCTCTCTTTAACACTCCCCCCAGACTCCGGCATGGGCATGCGCATGAGACACTCACCTATATATAGGCTCCACCCTCAAAATCGAAGAACCTGCCAGCCAGGAGACCCCCCGTCCACGCCTTCCCAGGGCTGGAGCCCGCCAGAGTCACGGGACCGGCGCGGTTCTGACCCGCCGCTTCTGCGGGGACAATCTAGAATAGCGCAGCTCGGTGGCAGGAGGAGCACCAGAATAGCACAACTTCGGGGGCGGGAGGAGCACCAGAATAGCACAACTTCGGTGGTGGGAGGAGCACCAGAATAGCACAACTTCCAGCACGTAATTCTGACCCGGAGTTTTCTCAGGAAAATCCACGGAACACCAACCTGGCCTTTCTTTTCTTAGCTTTCAATAATCACCATGACTCAGAATAGCACACCTTCGGTGGCGGGAGGAGCACCAGAACGGCACAACTTCCAGCACGCAATTCTGACCCAGAGTTTTCTCAGCGGCGGGAGGAGCACCAGAATAGCACAACTTCGGTGGCAGGAGGAGCAGCACAACTTCGGTGGCGGGAGGAGCACCAGAACAGCACAACTTCGGGGGCGGGAGGAGCACCAGAATAGCACAACTTCGGTGGCGGGAGGAGCACCAGAATAGCACAACTTCGGTGGCAGGAGCACAACTTCGGTGGCAGGAGGAGCACAACTTCGGTGGCGGGAGGAGCACCAG